CCATGTTACCCTTCGTTTAAACACAAAAGCTGCAGAATGGATGGTCAAAATGTGATAGTGGGGTCCATATGTTTATTGATTGGCATGTGACTTATTCTAATTTGAAGTAGAGTGTGAAGCCACGGACAGCAATCATTTCACGTTGGTTGGTGCGTGCAAAACCATCAACTAAACTGGAAAAGTTGCAAGTCTTGACGGAAGACTTTTTGGCCATAATAACACCTGCTTTTTAGTCAGGTGAGACAGGGGTAAGTATTGGAAATTATTGATAAAGTTTACAACCATTTTTGGTAAGTGACAAATATTTTGGGACAGACCAAAATAGAAAGCATGACACTTTCAATGGGACGGAGGGAGTATATAGTATGAATACCTTGGATTGCACTGTATGTTAATTTGTTCAAGACTCCAATGTAAATATATGTAGTTTCTGATTGTTCGTTTTCTTTGGATCCTATCGCGCGTACTATGTTGGATTTGTGTGTATCGACTCCGTAGTCCTGGCGAGAATTGGGTAGGCGGTCCGCCGAACCCTTTGGTTCGCCTTAGGATGAGGTGGGGCTGTCACAGTTCTTGCCATTCAATGCTTTTTGACAAGCCCCATTGAACTAAAACACCCTTCACTCTTCTTTGCAAAGAGTGAAACTTGTAGTTCAATTAAACTGTTGAATTGAAAATTGTATATTCCCAAATGTCATGGTATGCCACCAATCACTCAATCTTAAATAGTTAATCAAAACCTCAGTAGAGCTCTAATACCACTTGTTGGGGTATCAAGCTAACTATTTGAAATATGAAATGCTAACAATTTAATAGATAACAAGAACTAGCACAAATAATGAGTCACACATAAAATTAACGTGATTTGCCTTAATCACCAAACCTATTATGGAAAGAAAAATATGTTCTTATTATGACAGAGAAAAGACTATAAGATTGCAACTTGATTCCCAAGTTCAACCCTTATATAACCACTCTCTCCTGCCAAGAATTCTTTCATCTCTTTTCTTGTGTATTAGAATGCCAATTTACCTATTTATAGAGAATGTTACTCGACCAAGAATCAAATAATAATAGGAAACAATTGCTAATTCATAAACTTATATAGAACCAGAAATAACTTTGCAACTACTTCAACTAACTAAAGAAGGGCAAAATGTTTCAATAGCCCTCAAACTATTATGAAATTTAACTTTTGTTACTCCAACTATTAACTAATAAGTTTTAACCCTCCAACTAATTAAAATATATAATCCTAACCCTTCTATCAACTTGAGTCGTTATATTTAATAGAAATAGCATGACATGTGTAGCAGTGGCCCTTAAACTCTTATAATGTTTGATTTTTGACCCTCTAATTATTAACTGATAAATTTTATCCTTTCAACTAATTAAAACATATAATCCTAATCTTTTCGTTAACTTGAGTTGGTACGTTGAATAGAAGCATCACCATGTGCATGGGCATGGGCATAATTGAGGGGCATTTTCATCTTCATAGGACATGTGATAGGGTAAAATTTTTTTTACCTCCATTTGACTCATAACTAATTTACCAAGTCTCTAATTGCTGAACTTGACCAAAATTAATTGAAAACTCGAAACCCTGAACAAAGAGATTCCAACAAGGATAGGCAACTTGAAGAAATTGAGTTGCCGTCATTTGGAATTTAACTCGATTTTTGGTGTTGTTCTAGATTCATTGCGCTCATGTGCTTCTCTTAATGACATAAATTAGTCATACAATTCATTTTTCTGGGAGTATTCCAACAAGCCTTTGTTTTCTTCCAAACTTGAACATTCTAAATTTTTCAAATTAACAATTCTCTAGTGAGATTTCTCCGAGCTTTACATCATTACACCTAAACCTTCTTGATTCGTCAAAAATAGGTTAGATGGCCACATCCCAAATTCTTTATCAATAGATGTTTATGTTTGACATAACTACTCAAGTTGTTGGGAAGACTAGGATTATACATTTTAATTAGTTGGAGGGTTAAAACTTTTCAATTAATAGTTGGAGGGTCAAAAGTTGAATTTTGTAATAATTTGAGAGCCATTGGCCATTTTGCCCATCCTATGAATCCTATAGTTCTGTTAGACATAATGATTCAATCTGACGGAAGGGTTATAATTATATGTTTTAATTAGTTGAAGAGTTAAAACTTATCAGTTAATAATCGAAGGGTCAACAGTTAAATTTCATAATAGTTTGAAGGCCACTTGGGGTATTTTGCCCACCAAACAATCAAGAAACTAATTACTTTTCTACAAAACAATGAACTTGCTAAAAAGAAATTAAGCGAATGTTCTAAGAATTATTTCCAATAGAATGCCAAATCCTTTGCCACCGCGATGATGCTTTGGTGATGACTTAACTGTTAATATATATTATTTCTTTTTGTTGGAAATACATGTGAAGATGAGATTACTCCAAACAATTAGTCAAAAAAAATTTTGTTTAAAAAATGTTTTTTAAGCACTATTTAACTGGTAAAAAACATTTTGTGAACCACGTATTTCAAAACGTTTATAAAAAGTTGAAGGAAAATGTGTTTTTAACCATGTATTGACTGGTTTCCGTTCATAGGCAACTCCACATGGATAAAGTCTCCAATTGGTAATTGAATCTTGCAGGGATAGAATACAAGTCTAGGGCAATTAGGGTACTATATCAAAGAATTTGCTTGTGAAACGTCGAAAAATACAAAGCAAGGGGCAAGTGAAATAATCATCCAATATCCTTTCTTGTAAAGGTGTCACTGGAGATTGAACCGAACATTAATAGAATGCTCGTACACATAAATTCAGTTAAGTTATTTATTTACTGTAGCCAATCTTTGTTTGCTCTTGTTTCGCAATTCTTGAGAAATTCAGTAAATATTTTAAAGAAAAATTGGAAATCTACACTATATTGATTTCACTGTGCATGAGAACTGTTAATTTTTTCCCTATTGATTGTGTTTATATATGTAAGATTAATTTTATATGCACTGACAGTGTATACATTGTTAAATTTAGATGAATGACAGTTATATAAAATTTAAATTTGAAATTATACTTTTTGACATGTATCATGGATTTAATGGTAGTAGTATATATACTATAAGTGTATATAAAATTTACTCAAATTTGTGTGTGTGTGTGTGTTTTTTTATATAAAATATCATAATTTCATTAAAATCTACACTAATATCAGAAATTATATCATCAAACATACACAAATATCAAAGAATAGATCTAAAGAAAGGATACTCCATATCTGAAAAACAATAAAAATTACATTGTAAAGATCCAAATTTAAAAAATGATCGTAGTTTAAAAAATTATTGTAACTCCACGAACATCTGTGCATGCTTAAAATCGTCAGATCTACTGATTAGCTACTTCAAATTTAAATATTATGGTGAGATCTATTGAATAAATCCAAGAAATTTTAGATTTGATAATCAAAATCTGAAAAAACTAAGATATAATAAAAGAAAAATGAAAATTTATCAAAAATTCTTACTAGGAATTCCTAGGAGAGAATAAAACTTTCACTAAAAAATTTAAGAGAAACTAAAACTCTCACTAGACAATTCTAAGGAGAGAATAAACTCTCACTAGAAAATTCTAAGAGATTTTTTATTCACACAATTGAAAAGAAACTATAGAGAGGGTTTTTTCCATGGAAAACGATCAGATTCTCTCCAATGGGAGAGTTGAAGGAAATTTATTTAGAGAATTTTTTCTAGAGAGAAGCGGAGAGAAAGAAGACGTGTGTGTGTTATATATCAACAAAATGGGCCGATTTGTGAAATGCTTCACCAAAGCAATAAAAATTGAAGTAAAGCGATGCTCTTACTTTGTTGTGCAACAAAATTTTGTCTTTTCTTTCTTTTTTCATCCAACAAATTGAGCCAGCCTGTCGACAGACAGCACCAAAGAACTTGGCTCGTGCAATGCATGCACTGCATTCAATTCAGTCCGATCTTTGTTATGAAAGATTTAGAGAAAATCCAATATCATATCGTGGCAAGGGACCATCTGCTTTATCGCCCATACGTTTCTCCGACCATCCAAGCAGCAACAGCTGTGCTATTGCCTTAAATCTTGAAGAAATCAGCAAATGATAAAACAATCTTGCAAAGATAAAAGACATAGAAGTGAAAGGGCCCTTCACCGGAGGGTAGTAGCCATTTTGCTCCAAAGATGAAGTAAATGCCCGTTAGACTCGGACGACTGTTTTGTAGTGAACCCCGAAAAACATGATTTGACTTGCCCCTCTTATCTTCTAAGACGTTCCAGATAGACACGGGGCTCACAATTTGTGTTTCGTATAATTTCATATAAGTTGAGATCTGGTATAAATCAATAGAGTTTTGGTGTAAATCAGGTCTAGTTTGATGTGAATTAGGTACAATTTGGTATAAGTTAATTATTATCATTTAGTATAAATTGAGGATAATTTGGTGTATATTGAGAGTAAATTATTAATTTTCACCAATTTGTATGAAATGGAACTGGTGAGGCCCCATTTCCCTTTTATCAAATGAGTTTAAAAATGAACTTATGAGAAGTTTGAAATAGAGGGGCTTCAAAAAAATATAGGGTGTGAAAACAATTAAAAATAATAAGAAGGTCACAAAAATTATTTCATGCCGTGGAATATTCTGGACGTAATAAATAATGCGACAACATACCAAATTTGGTGCATCTCTATGGTCCTCCAACATGATCTACTAGGCTGGCAAATTGGACATACAAAAACGAAATAAACAAGAAAATATCTTACAAATCGTAATGAAAAAACAATTGATGGGAAAAAAGAAGTATACGTAAATAAAAATTAAGAAAACACATAATTAATTTTTTATGTACCACCGCCAATATACCAAGAAACATAAATGCATTGCTGTATATTTAAGAATTGAAGTTCAAATTTATATTAGAATTAAATAACATGTATCTATACTCGTTAATATACAAGGACGACAAAGTTTAATCTTTCACGCATGATGGCGTATAAAAGGCTCTACTCATTGAACGGCTTTGTTTGTGAAGCTTTCAATTACTATCATCTTCACCAGCATTGTTTCTTTTGACTCCTCCCTATACATACCTCAAGATCCCTCTTCAAGAAATGAAGCTTTTCAGCCTTTTCCTTGTGGCCATCCTCCTTCTACAGGTTTGTTTCAGGTCGCTAGCGCCACCAACTAGCTAGCAAAGGGCAATAAGCTGATCTTTCTTGATAGCTGAAAATGTCATTGCCTGTACTTGCAGTTTCCAGTTGTGTTTACTTTCTACATTTCACATATTTCAGGTTTTCACAGAGGCATTGTCCATCAGTGGCACCACCACTCCTCAGACCCATCAGGTCGTTCATCTAGGTTTTCCTCTTTTTTCCTCCTTTTTTAAGTTTTTTTCCTTCTCAATCTTTATGTTGTAATTTTTCCATGGAATCGTTAGGCCTCTTACCAACAAACTTGTAGCAGTCCACTTCATTTATTTTTCATATTTTGTTAATATTTCATATAAACAGTAGAAGTTCCCTGAATTTTCAACACATTGCTGCCTTTAGGCAGAGGTTCCGAAGCCGAACACGGTTTAAATGGGCCATCTCACATAAATTTTAGTTTCCACTAATGGAGTTCACCTAAGGCCCCGCTTATCTTCTGAGATATGGTCCATGTAAACTTGGTCTATGTACAAATTTGCATCCTTTGACATGGCAACCCCAAGCCTTATGAAGTAGGTAATTATAATTGATTATCTATTAAATATAATTAACAACGTAAACAAACTATACCAAGAAGATCTATAAATCAGTCAAAAAGCTGAGGAAAAAAACTAGAATTCATACTGACTTCATTATAGAGATACTCAAATATTTGGTTAAAAATGCGAAGTATATCTAACAACTAGGTAGAAATCCATGAGCTAAGTTATTTGTTAGCCCACAATTGATGAAGAAAAGCTCTTCCTTCCTTGTAATTTGGACAAGAATATGTAACAATTTGAATAGAGTTTGGAAATCATTTCATAGATGGTTTTTTTTTTTTTTTTTTTGTCGACGGAGTGGGTGTCCGGGTCAAGTCCGTAAAGGCGGCCCGACTAATCCCACTTCTCCCTTTGTTTTTTGCAGTCTTGAGTTAGTTCCTCTTATATTGTTTTCATGTTTAGCATTTCTCCCTTTGTTTTTTGCAGTCTTGAGTTAGTTCCTCTTTGCCTGATCTTTACATATGATTAATGTTTCAATTAGTCTGCTTTGACATATTCCATTCCTCGTTCACTCTCTTGAATCATTAACTTCAAACTGTTCTGCCTCCAAACTTCTTCATTTGAATTTTGAAGGTATACCACAGTAGTGAAAGCTTGTCTGATTGAGATTGTACAGATATGGTGGGAATATAGGGCCTTGTTCTCGTTTGCTTAGTGAAAATCCGATTGTGGAAAGTGATTATGAAGAATAGTTAGAAGCAGTAAGAATTATTTTTTGGTAGGTTATGGAGTTTATCCTTTTTTATCATTAAAAATATATAACCTAAATGTAAAGTCAATGTGGGCATAAAAAAGAATCAATTGTTCAAAATCAGAACCTATAATTAGTTAAAATAATCAACTAAGAATAAGGCCTAAATGCTATAAGAAGGATTCTACAGAATTGAGAAGGGAAGGGAGAGGGGAATTGGGAGGGGGAATTGGTTAACTTTGGATCCACTTTTACAATTTTGGTATTACATTTCATGTTATACTATTTACCCTATATTTGGAGCCTCTATTATACTTTGGTGTTACTGTTTACCTTGACACAAAATGGAGCATAACATCAAAAAGTACAAGCTTAAATACGAAGGATCCTAAGCCCTAACACTATTTTGGAATTTAGGTTGCCAGTGGACCAATCTTTGACGTATACCATGTGGCTGCAAATGCCCGACATCGACTACACGCAGCCTCGACTCTTGACGAGACAACGTCCAAGACAAATTATTAGGGAGATGGGCTAACACTCTGATTTTGCTCAGGAGACCATTTTAAAAGAGAAAGAAAAAAATGCATGTTTTCAAACGTATAACTTGATCCAGTATAAATATAAATAAGAAAACTAATCAACAGACCACCCGTGCTTTAAAAAGAAAATCATTATCTAGTTCCTGCTAATTCTGATTTTGATATGTTACCTTTTCATGCAGGTGGATGGTCGGTCTAAACGTCCAAAAATTAGTAAGTCATAAGTTAAATTCAAATCCTTAGCTAACTCTAGTTCTTGAAATTTCCCAGACAAATTTGGTTGAAGATTAGCTCTTAAGTTTTAAAATTCCCGTGAACTTATAATTTTTTATGCTGTAATACAGATTGCAGCTATGCATGCTCGAGAAGATGTAGCAAGGCATCAAGAAAGAATGTTTGCACTAGAACGTGCAAGGCCTGCTGTGCAAGGTGCAACTGTGTTCCACCAGGAACTTATGGAAACAAGGAACTTTGTCCCTGCTATGCCAGATTGAAGACCCGAGGGAACAAGCCCAAGTGCCCTTGAGCCTTGAATGCTCCCTTTCTGTATAATCAATAGTAATAATAATCATTGCTTTTCCTGTGTGTGGAAGTATCAAAGAATAGCCCCCAAAAAAAAAGTATCAAAGAATAAATTCAGATGAGTGATTGCATTTTCTTGGCGCTTGGTGGTCAGGGTAACTGTTGAGTATTGCTTATTAGATATTGATGATATTGAACATGCCCATAGAAAAAAAAAATTCCAGTGAGAGGTCTCTGTTGTTGTCCATGAATGTTTTATGTAAATTAGCAAAACTTCCTATCCTTTAGCTGAGATAACTCAAATAAAACTTTAAAGTTAAGGGACCATATCGGTTATCTAATTGTTATTGTTGGTTTTTTTTTTTTTTTAAGTTAATGGGATATTAGGAATTCAGGACTTTCTATTTATAATCCCTCATATCCTACCATCCAGCCCAATCCTCCCCCATTTAATTGTTGTTTTAATGGTATGCATGAAACTTAGATGACTTTTCCATTACATTTTCTTAATTTATCATCAAGGGTCCTTCATTGTTAATTTTTGTGATAATAAGAAACTACATTGGGACATAGTGATAAATAAGGGACCATGTTTGTAAAGTTTCAGAAGATAAAGGACCAAAATGATTATTTTCTCTTCTCATTTTATTACATTATGCTTCGCTTTTGTAAATGATTTGTCTACGCAGTGAAGATAATTGTCAGGCTGTTTATGGGTGGACAGATTTAGTGTTTTTGTGAAATTCTCAATGGCGTTAAATTCAGACCAAACAGTGATTCATATAAACTAATGGATCAGAGTCAATCGATCAGACTCTTCACAACAATCCGTTGATATCAGCATGATGTTATAATTATTTTTTATTTTTATAATTTTAAAAATATTGAAATTAAGTTCTTGATTATATTTTGGTCAACTATATAAAACGTTCCAAAAATATCAAGCTTGCTATCGTATATACACATAAAAATTATGTATAAAAATGTAAATTCATATCTAAAATATGTCCATTCTCAAAACTACTTAAAAAACTAAATTAAAATAAATCATACCCAATTCAAGATTTATTTATTTTTTGTTAGGAATATGGCTTTCTAATTAAAGTTGGAACCATTGATGATAAATTAATAAGATGATAGAGATAAAAACTTCCTGGTTTAGAGATTGTTTAGGGGTATGAGTAATTTTGATGTTTATACTAAATAGGTAGCCTTTTTTTTTTTTGTTCCTATTAATAAATGAAAGTTTTACAATTTCTCAAATTATGTTTGGAAATAACAAAAGAGGAAAGCAATCGAACCGAGTCAAAATAGTGGAATTGAATCATTGGTTTGACCGATTTTTGATAATTTTGATTGATTTTTACTAAAATGATTTTGTGCTCTTAACCAACTCGGGAAGAAGGTCAATTCATGGTCAAACCGGATCACTAGAAATTCTAGGATCTTATTCTAGGGCCTGGAAACAAAGTTTTCTCTAATGGTAATTTTATTTTGGCTCGCCTTAAAAGAAAGGGGGGAAAAGCAAAATATATGCTTATTCAACTAAGTTTTAAGGGGATTGAGACATAATTTAATGCCAATTCTTTTTTTTTTTTAAACAAGTATGGAATTTAAGAAGCGGAGTGGGAGATTTAAATCAAAACCTCTAATTTCTAGAACTTTAACCTTAGCCACAATCAAATTTTATTTGTGATTTGCTTAATTAATTTGTGAACCAAACTCAAATAAAATTGTGCGGAATGAAACTTAATTTTTGTACAAGGTAGAATTTGACTTATACTTTACCTCTAGAGTTACAAAAATAGTTGTCACGAACCCATTCAAACATGTATGCTCCATTTTTTTTTTATAATTCTCCCATTCCTTTCTATACTCTTTCCATCCCCAATTACCAAGTATAAGATTTCAATCCCGAATTTAATAAGAGAGAAAACTCTTAAGAGTCTCTCCTGCCACAAGTTACAAAACACATTTTAATTTATTTTTATTAGTTTTTATTATTTCGGCCCTCTTCTTACCAAGAACTGAGGAGTGCCCGTTCAGTTACGTCAATGACGATGTCATGCAATGGATCAAGGGCTTTAGTAGGGATAGCAATGGAGCGGGTGACCGCAGGCATCTGCCCCGCGGGGGGCTAATGGGGAGGGGGTTGGGGTGGGGCGTGGACACTCCCCCCATGCCCGCCACCCGTTTTAAAAAAATAAATATATAAAATATATATGTATATAATTATATATAATATATAATTTAATTAGTTACAAACTTATGATAATGATATTATTAGTTATATGTATTATATAATATCTATTAGTATATCTAATATAATTGATATTATTAATTATACTAATAATTATATATGTGTACTAATACAAATTATTAATTGATTATACTAAATTTACTAAGACATTTATATTAAATCCCTAATTACACTTAATACAATAACATTTTTTTTCTTGAAAAAAGCACAAACACAATAATGAATTAGTGATTGTAGTTGTGCCAAAAGTAAAAACTTGACTACTTTAGTTATATTTATTTCATCGCGTTGGATTGTATTCAAATAATTTTTATTTGATTGTTTTTATAAGTTTCAATTGTAAAATTACAATGAATAATAATTTAATAATGTGTTGATATTTTAATACTTGATTATTTGCTAAAATTTAACCATAATAAAATTATGTAACAAATTTTTATTAGCCCCACGGGAGCATTTGCGGGGGAAGCGCGGATAGGGCGGGGGAAGCGCGGATAGGGCGGGGGGAGCGGGGGGACGGGGGATGGGGAGGGGGCGGGTGGAGTTTGTAGGTCCCCCAATCCCCCGCCCTAATCCCTCCCTGTTGCCATCCCTAGGCTTCAGTTGTCATTAGTATCAACTGCACAGTATAATGTAAAACGTAGCACAATTAATATAGATACTAACATAACAAATGTAAACACTAATACAATAAAATAAAAAATATAACAATTTTTTAACACATTAAAATTGGTGTTTTATATTTAATCTACTCTAACAAATTTCAGAACTTCCAAATCTCCCACCTTTAACTGTACTCTGCAGTCACAATACAGTCACTATTGTGACTGCAGAGGATCTCAATCCGTTGGAAATGGGGCAGGAACGGTCATGATTTGGCCAAAAAATTTTGTGCGATCCAGATAACAAGTTGTGCATCGATTTTCACACCGTGTGTGGGGCCCGCAAAATTTGTACTAAAGTTACACGTTGCGAAAATAAAGTTACGCCGTGTGTAACTAAAGTTACGCGCTGTTGAAAATGACTGAAACCGTTGGGAACGGTTGCACGTGCCCCTTGTCCCAATCCGTTATGCAGCATACACAACATACTAATGAGTAGAGATAGAAAGTATTTAAAACTGCATCGGTCGATCACTTAACATATTTTTTAGGGTTAATTACATTTACCTCCCCTAAGGTTTAACCAAATTACCATTTACTCCCTGAAATTTAGACAAACTACAAAAAGGTCCCTCAAATTGAAAGACGTATAACAGATACACCCCTCCCGTTAGTCTGTTGTTGTTGACTATTAAGATTATAATGATGCCATCATACAAATTTAATGAAATGCCTAGATTGCCCCTAAATCCATAACCTTCCCCTTCCCTTCGTTGCTTTTCTTCAAAACCTAACCTACTCCATTTACCACCGTTGACATAACTATGGCAGCAAAATCATCGAGATATATTATCGATACCCACTTTCATGATCATTTTCTTGGTGAGCACGTTTTCACTGTCAAAATCATAATAAATTTATAGAAATTTAATTGCCTTCATCTCTATTATTCCCATAACAACCATGCTTTTAACTCCGTTATAAGCAGAGAAAAAACCCATTTGATAATATCAAACCCAATAACCAACTACAGATATAACCCAGAGTTGAAAAAATGATTATTTGGAACTCTAAATACCCGCATGAATCCAGTCAGATCCTGGTTGATAACCGTTAATTCCTCACTGCCAATTTGAGTGAGTTTGAGATTTTACTCGTCTCTGGATTGGTTGATGTGATTGTGGTAGTTGCAGAGAAGGGAAATACAACAAACAAGATTATTGGCCGACAAAGGGTTACAGACTTGTAAAGACTCTTTTGTGGTGGATTGAGTGAACCTTTTCAATGCTTCTATAAATTTTCTTTCATCACTCAATTGTCGGTTTCTTTTTTTCACTCTACTTTTTTTTTCCATTCCTTTCTTTGCTTTTCACATTTTAATTTCTTTTTTGTTTTCTAGGCTTTCCTTCTTTGTTCATTTTCTTTCTTTTGTTCCTTTATGCACATATTTTATCAATTTTGATTATTACATGCTTGGTTTTATTTTTTTCTTTTATACTGGTTAAAAACTGTTTTATTTAAGTAGCAAACTCTTAGTTTAATTTGTTATTATTGAAACCACTTTCGATTTTTTAACGGTAAGTTTTCTCTAACTACGAGTTTTACAGAGAGGGTCAATATGACATTTTACTACTTCTATTTAAGTGTCTTAGACGGGGTTACTTAAAAAGGAGGTACTTGTAATATTACCACACCACAGACATTTAATGGTAGTTTGGTCAAACCACAAAGGAGGTAGATGTAATTAACCCAAATTTGATGGAAATCAATAAGGGTTATTCAGACTTTTGGCTATTTCCGTTACTTATAAGTGACAGAAGTTAGTGTGGGGGAGGAATCTGTTATTTGGTCAAATCTCAGGAATCGATTCGTTATTTGGTCAAACCTCAAGGGAGGTAAATGTAATTAAACCTATTTTTTACTCAAAAAAGTCACTTATCTCTTTAAAACGAGCCTTATGGATCATTTCAGCGAGCATAACATTTAAGCCAACTGGAAATTAGCAATTTAACTTGTTAGTGCAGGTTTTCAAGCATAAAAATGTCCAAAAAAATTACCCAAACTTTTTCAAAAAAAAAAAAAAAAACTAACTTCAAGATTGATTTGTATTTTGATCAAAGCTAAAAGGAGTTAAATGTAATTAAACCAAAAAAAAAAACACGCCAACACTCTACCTCTTCTTCCTCTCACCGTCCCGGCACGCATCCGAACACCCCCAACACCTGACCTTCGCAGATCGGGTCCCTACACGATTGTCAGCAAATTTCATAAAAGGAGCAGAAGTTGCTGGCAAATTTCAAGAACTTTTGTCAGTTTACTTGAAAAGGCTTTTGGCATTTGAAAATCTATTTAAGGTGAATAATTCGTTCAAACAGCCTGCTCCTGTGAAGACCATTATTGCCGTTGTGGTCGCTGGTGAGAAGAAGCCAAAAAAGGTTTTTTGTTTAGCCCTCCGCTATTTATATCTTACTACTTTCTCTCTCTAAATCCAAAATTTTGTTTCTCAGGTCTGCTTTCTTTTTCTGCTATGTCTTTTTTATTGTATAATTTGCGTGATATATGCGTTTGCGTGGTTATTGAATGAATTGGACTGAGATATTGGATTTTGGAATTTGATTTGTGCAGATCGGGGAATTGAAGGTGCAGGAGTGGAATTGGGTTGAAGAAATTAGGGTTTGATTAAAATTGGGAGCGATCTAGGGTTTTGTTGCTTTGAAGGGCGTGTGATAAAGTCTAGGGTTTTTTTTTTGAATTGGGGGTTTGCTTAGGGTCTTGGGGAATTTGCGAATTGGACTGGTTCTAATGGTGTATTTGTGTATTTCGGGGGAATTAAGAAAGGTCTTAATGTGAAGAAGTTGATTTGTAGGTAAATGTAATTAGCCTAATTTTATATTCCTAAATTTAAGGTCCTCTATATATCATTCGACTCCCAATTTCGAAACTACACATTCGATACTCTTTGGTTCTTTCCAGTATCCATGGCTAAATCTACTAGCAGTAGCAGAAGAAAGCGCCATACAGAAGAAGATGAAGAGAAATACGACGACGCTTCATCATCATCACCTCAATCCTCTTCTTCCGAAGAAGATGATGATAATAAGCGAAGCCACAAACGCCGCCATGGCGACGATAGGGGTCCTAGGAAATCCTCTTCGAGGAAAGACAGAAAATCATCCAGTAGGAGGAAAAGAAAGGAAAAGGAACGGAGAAGTAAGCACAAATCGAAGAAGTATGAGAGGAGAAAGAAGGATAAATATTATTCGGATGAGTCCGAAGTGGCAGAGTCGTTGCCTAGGTCAGATGGGGATGATGATGATTCTGGATTGGAGAATCCGGAGGATGTTGTCAAATGTATTTTGAAGGAGTTTCCTGCTGTCTCAGGAGATTTGGAACAGGTATAGCGGTTATCTATTTGTTTACTTATGAGTTCAAGTTTTGTTGAAATTTGTCTATTGAACTGTTGAATATGCGGGCAATTTGTATTGGTTAACGGTATCAATTGTGAACATCTACTACTTTGTGTGCCAAATTTACCCTTTTCATTTTGTTTTGTAGAAATGCTGATTACTATGATTGATTTGTGCTAAAACAATCGCATCTGTTTTGTAAATTTTGTGTTGAACTGCCCCCTCTTAGGAAGTGTTCCACATAATGGCTTACTGGAAAAGCTTTATTTTGTGTTGAAGTGCCACCCTCTTGAGAAATGTTCATGTAATGGGTTAGGATAAAGGTTCTAAAGGATAAAGGTTCTAGTGAATGATACTAAATTTATTGCAAAATACTGTGTTTCCAGCTTCTACACATGATAGATGATGGTCAAGCAGTTGATATAAGGGGATTGTCAGAAAAAACATTGGTGAAGCACCTGAGAAGGCTATTTCTATGTCTGAACCTTAAAGAAACTGGTGATAATATCTTTCTACTGAAATCAGAGGGCCATCCTACATTGGAGGTTCTTAGACCTGTCATTGATGGCTACGGACGGTCTTCAAAGCAGCAGCTTGATCATTGTACATTGGAGAACGAATTGCTCTCGGTATCACCAGATGGCAGAAATGGACCAGATGCCAACATGACTAAATCATCTGAAGATGCCATTGGTCCTAGACGAAGGTACCTCGATATCCTTGCTATATATCTTAATGTAACAAATTCTGCAGCATATCCAATTTGCTGCTTTCTTGGTATATTTGAACAAGCATTCGGAAATGGTTATGGTCCTATTTTCTTTGCTTAATCAAATAAATATTTTTTTTGAGTTATGTGATGTTATATGCAGTGTGATGTTAACTTACTATGCTGTATTATTGTTACTTTCAAAACTTTTTTGTTTTGAGTTGTCCTTCAGTTTGGTGTGCCTGCTTTGATATGCATTGAAAAGTTTGAAAAGCATACTCTCTATAAGTGCAAAATAAATTTCATCTTTTTGGTACAATTCTAGTTTCTTTAAGTTTCTGAATCCATTGTTTTCAAATTTGTTTGTTCGTTTAGGGTAATTGGCCCTGAAATGCCATCTGCTGAACTACTTGCAGCTGCAGCCAAATTAACTGAAGCAGAAGCTGAGTTGAGGTATTGCTGAATTTTATAATTTTAAGAGTTAATGGCTGCATTTGTATTCTGTAGAAGGATTTTCCTTGTGGAAGTCAAGCTTTTAGGCATTTTTTGCCATCTTACGGTGAACTTCTGAAGCTACTAACATTGCTAACTTATTTATGTTTATTGATGGTTGAAATTAGAGAGGCTGAGTTAGTGGACGATTCTGAATTGTTTATAGGGCCCCCTCCCCCTGCTTTTGTTTCTGAAGTTGAATCATCAAATGAAGCAGAACGATTTGAAGAGGTACCTTTTTGTATATATTTCACTCCGTATACCTTTTTTTATATATTTCACTCCATATACATATTTATTTGTCACCATTGACAGATTTTAATTCTTCCCCTTGTTTCATCATCCCATAGTCTCTTTATTTTGTACTTTTTCTTATGGCAGTTTTTGTTTGGTTTGTATGCTTCTGTTTTAGGGCATTCTAAAGACCTTTTGCTAGTTCCATCATAAGGATACAAATTCTTCACGCTTGTGCTGTTTTTTTTGGTTTCTTATGCATGTTGCTCTTATTATTATACCATGCAATAAACATTACCTCATGGCATGAGTTTTTTTGTAACATTGCTATGTTACGTAGATTCGATTAGTTTTTATAACCCATGATCAAATTGAGTATGACAAACTTGTTGACCACTACACATATCTATTTTTGTAGGTTGAGTATAGAGCTTTTAAGCACTTGTCACAGTATATTTTACCAACAGAAAAGGGTTCTGTTATCAACAACTTGAATTATAGTCTCTTAACTGCACAGGGTGTAAAAAATGCATGGTAGAATATATGTAGAGATTGATAGCTGCTGATTGAAAATGTACATATGGGTCTATCTTTAGTCCATCTTGTGGAAGCTTTGTAAATGATGATTTCCTTTGGTTTCCCCTTTATGGTGTCTGTTTTGGCTAAGAACAGTGTACCTGCACATTGCATTTTTCGGGACCTTGAAAATAATACTAATATGCAAGTATTCTAAGCACATTATTAAGCTTGATGAGCTTCTAAAGATATTTAGTGCAGTCTCTCTCTCTCTCTCTCCCCCCCTCCCTATCTCCCTTTCACTCTCTGCATTCATTATTGGTATGACTTTTTTTAATGCGAAAAGAGTCAAAAATTTATTGTCATGTGGATAGCGCAGCTCTTTTATGCTTTAGCTGCTGCATATTGCATGTAACAAAGATATAGGTTTAATATAGTAGAAATGTATGTTTGCAGGAATTTTATCTTTGTCGTGGCCAGTCTCCATAAAAATGGTGATACATATTTACAGTGAGGGCATAATGCATTTGCTTACATGCTGTCATTGAATCAGGGATGCTATCTCTTCATTTCAATTGTTATTTCCATTTGCCAGATTACAAGAATTATGGGAGCTGAGGTGGATAGTCCATATGATATTCTGGGAGTGAACAAGAATATGTCAGCTGAAAACATGAAGAAAAGGTACCTTCTTGTCTGTATTTTTAAAATTTACCTTTAAATGTGTTGTTTGGATCTATTGGAATGCGACTGTTCAATTTTCTGTGAATGATATAATCGTTAAGAAGCAGCATTGAAAACTGTTGGTAGGCTGACGGTCATTTTAGATGCATTGGCAGAAAAACTGAGGAATAGAGTTCAACAAGACATGAATAGAAAAGTAAAGAGAAACCACAAGAATTTAAGATTGATAATGAGAATGAGTCAGGAACTCTAGGAATCTCTTCTAGGAAACTTTAGGCATTGCTGCATGATTTTATTATGCAATCCTCAAGAAAGACATGAAGTCTGCAAGAATACTTTTGGTGCAAAAAAATTGTCTTAATCCATGAAATACAACATTTTTGGACTCAACCAGTCTATTTGTGAGACTATATACCATGATATCTACTGTTGGTTCTGTTTCTAAATCTAAATGCAAAAGAATTGCTGGTCATGTGCTGTATATTGGTTATGTGACTGTTGCTATAGTTTTATTTCAGGACTTGGGTTAAATTTCCTTTTCTAGTTTGGTGCTTGATCGTCTTTGTTAGTAGTTTCCTTGGTTTAGTTACTTGCAAATAGAATTCCAATCTGTTAGGCAAAAAAAAAAAAGTTCTTGCTTACAAGGGAATGACTCAACCAGCAGGCATATAAAGTTTGTCTTAGGCATGAACTCCCCTCCCCCCCCTTCTCCCTGCTTTTTTTTTTCCCCTAAGAAACCTATAACTTTGACACGATTGAAGTTTTTTGATTTGTTTTGTGCTTCCGCCTCATCAAGACAACAACTTTCATGATGTGGAGATAGTTATCTTTGTTGAACTTATCCTTTTATGCAGAAAATATGGTATTGCGAGGCAGTATAATTATGCCTCTTGTATAGATCTTGGTATGGGAGGTTCTCTTGACTTTTGTTTTCTTTTTTTTTTTTCTGTTTTATGGGGCGGGGAGGGTTGGAGGGGTTGCGGGATGGGGTCTTGGTTTGCATTTCTGCAAATGCATGCTGGTTTGTCCACTGCTAGATGTCTAATATTGACAAATTTGATCGTTTTGACTTGTTTTATATGTCAACTGGTCTTCTTTTTTCTCCTTGTAGGTACTGGAAATTGTCCCTCATGGTACATCCGGACAAATGCTCTCATCCACAGGCCCACCAAGCATTTGTGAAGTTGAACAAGGCTTTTAAAGACTTGCTGGATCCAGATAAAGTGAGTGTTGTACAATAGTAGTGCTTCAAGAGAATTATATTCTATTACTTACTTTTTGTTACATTCTACACGATCTGTGTCTTTTCCTCTCACTCTTGCTCTCCATGGCGTTCTGCTTCAGCTATGTGATGATTTTTCAGTGATATGGTTTTGATGGAGCATTTGGCCCAAAGTTTTCGTTGAAGGAAAAATAAGGGGAACTATTACGAAACTTAACTTTTTTTTCTTGCACCTTGTAACACACTTTTACTTGCTAGAAGTTTTGATTTTTTCAGTCTGTCATTTTGTTGAATACATCTAACTAAGTGCCTTTGCCAATGAGTGAAAATTTCATTGACAGTAATAGGGATGAGATAGCTGATAAACGTCACTGGTCGCTTCTACTGTGTTTCATAAGTTGTGCGAATTATTTTTGAGAAGAACCTTGCGTGTATATATATCTTTTTATCTGATGTAGTTTCAGGACTTTGTATTTTCTACTGCATGTAACTTACGTGAAGAAGATTTGATATTGTCTTTTGTTTCCACTTCATCATCTTTTTTATAGCGAAAAGCATTGGATGAGAAAATAAAGCTCAAAGAGGAACAAGAGGAATTCAAGGTACATTTTTTGCAGTGATCTTGGCAATGTCAATGTACTTTCTCCTTTCCAATCGTATTATTGATAGAAAGGTTATTATCAATACAGGCGGAATTGAAAGCAATGAAAGAAGCTGCACACTGGAGACGTTTGCAAGGTAAGTGTTTTTTATTTTTTTTTGTTTTTTGGGGAATATTGTGATCACTGTTCTTTTTGGTTGCATAAGAAAATGTGCTGTCTGCCTCTCTCTCTCTCTCTGACATGCATATTTGGTCACCTCACACTTGTGGTGCCTTTACTATTACAACAAGAAAAGATGATAATTTCAATCCATTCCAGAATTTGAATATATTGGGTTTATGTCCAGAACTGCATATTTCATTAGGGAAAGAGAACCAATGTGCTGTGCTTTGTCTGACTGAAGGATCACTGGCTCAAAGGATGATTAAATGCTACAAATAACACTTTTTTCTTTTACAATTAAAGAACTCCAAATTGGATCCCAAACTTTTGTTTGGGCCACCATATTCCTGCCTAATGGAGGGACAGTTGGGGAGTGATAATGCTTTAGAAAAATCATTTAAGAATAATTGGACTAGTGAGACATTACTGATTCTGAATTTCCTTTCACTCAAGATTAATTGAGGCTGCGCTATGTTTCGTTGACTCTAGTTTTTCCAGTACTAGTAGTTGATACTTTGTATTGTCTAAAATCAAGTTATGGTACAAAAGGATGGAGCTTGCTACTAAGGCTCCCTATGCCCTGTCTCATCTTGCACGATGCTAAGATGTGTGACTAAAAGCTGAAGACTAAAGCTTATATGGCTGAGCTATCTTTGCACAGACATTTTTTCCATATAATTACAGTTGAATTTTGTTCTACATACACTTTCACATAGTCTATTTGCCGCCATGTAGCCTCTTTATAGTATGGCTTTCCATCTTTCAGAAGCATAAAATGTTCGAGAGAAAGCTGAAGACTCAGGACATGTGGTGGATCAATTTTATTGTACATTTTTCACCCTAGTATTTCCTGCTGTATGTCTTCTGTATGCAATTATGTTATGGTCGTGAAAAGGAAATGCACCCTGAAAGGGCCTTTTTACACTGTGACTCATCTTTCACAAGGCTAAAATGTTTTAGCATTAGCTGAAGACTGATACAAGAGTATTTTCTCTTCTTTTATGCTTTAGATGTGCAATTATTATGTTGCAGTTACTTCTAGTTGTTTGGTTTTCACTGTGTTGACCAAATTTGAGAATGATGATTATTTTGTTGTAAATCTAGTTAGTGTGGATATTTGTTTGGTTACTGTCTTGCTTGTCTCGTCGTTAAGCTATTGATGGGATGGAGAGTTGGATTAAAGCCTTTCACAGTATATTTTGAAGGAAATTAGTTTGTAATACTAGCCTGCTTGTTGTTGCTGAAAGGAGGCACACTGGGCTGATTTTGTGCATGAAAACTTCATATATCCAAGAAACAAAATATTTTGTTTATCATTGCACACTGAATTCTTAGAGCACTTAAACTGCAGGTATATCAATGGAGGGTGATGATATACTTTTAGCTGACATGGAGGCTAAGGTGGAACCTAAAAGAGATGAATGGATGACAACCCTACCCCCTGAAAGAAAAGTAAGGACCTTTTTCTTCCCTCTTTATATTATTAGCATCATTCCGGTTGAATATGTTCTCACTTTGAATTTATGAAAAGGTGGAGAAGATAAGAATCACGAATAATGCTGTACCTGCTTAATAAATAGACGCCTTATAATAGAGAAATCACTAAGCAGGCCAAAGACAGCTTCTGATGCATGATGAAGTCCTCATATTGGAAATAGAGCTCAAACCGGTTTCAGTTTAATAGAATAACGTGTTAGTGCAAATAATGATAAAATAAGCTGAACAATAGATGACTTAGGCTTTTACACTGAAAGGGCTAATGCCGGTAGTGGACTAGTGCTCTGGCACTGGGTTTATGCTTATTTGTCTAGTTATTTTCCATGACTGACTTGACCTGAATTCTGATAAATGGAATGCAGGCTGTGGAGTACAAATGTGATTTAGGATGAGAATGTTGATTGATATTTGGTGGATATAAAATGGTAATTTGTTAAAAAAAGGTATACCTTGGTGTAATTACATATGAACTTACTACTTGAGATAATTGTTTTTTTGAAAAAAAGATACCATAGACTGATTTAAGTAGTAATCAAAATGTTACCCCCACTCTGCCTCTAAATAAGTCAACGTGACCATCGCATGGGGTTTCTATGGGTGGCATTATATTTTTATGCTGGTAATTTGAAATGGCTTTTGGCCATGATGGTCTGGGCTTTTAAAGGATACCTTATCAATGCTCCAAGTATACATCATTGAAGTCTGTTACTATATGTAATACCCGTAGAATTGACAGCTGTTGATCGTTGTTTGGTGCTTCCTTAAACATTATATTCTAGCTTGGAACTTGACCCTTATCTTTGATCATTCTTAGTGTGGGTTGTTGCGCTTAAAATCTGCTGTTTGTTTGTCTTTCTCAGCCTGGGACGACCATGCAATCAACAAAATTCAGCAGAAGCTCCAAGGAGGGGCGCGGGGATACTAGTGTCTGGACTGACACACCATCAGACCGAGCCCAGAAAGCAAAAATGAAGTATGTATGAATTCTGATGAAAATGATGCTCTTGGACTTGGAGGTCTTGGACATTTGGTACTAATGCTCTTTTGCAATTGCAGTTATTTAGAAGCCTATAATGAGGCTTCAACACTTGCTTCAAATGAGCAAGAAAGAAAACGATCCAATTCAGATGCACATTTGGTAGATGAATACAACAAATCGAAGCGGTCAAAGTCACTAGTAGACAAGCATCAAGAGCTAGCTCAAAATCGATCAAAGAAAAAATCCAAGCAGGAACCAGTTAAAGAAGAATGGGAGGGAAAGCATCCATGGAGACCATGGGATCGTGAGAAGGATTTGACAGCGGGACGGCAAAGTGTGAAATTGGATGCTGAAAACATGGCTCAGGGTTTGTCTTCTAGGTTTTCCTCAGGATCATTTCAAAGAAACTTCCTGTAGAGCATTGAATCAAGAATCTAATTTAAGCTGCCAGAAGTCCTGTATCAGATTGACGTAATATATCTTTAAAGAAGTGGTTTTTGCGGTCAGTTCCTGCCTTCCTATCTTCTATTTATTTGCTTGTTGCGTCTAATTTCAAACCATGGTCAAGAGGTAGTAGTCTCTAGTGATGTCCAATAGCTTAGCTGCATTTTTTTTCCCGCTTCTTTACATCCAAATGAACTTATTCTTTTTTAATTTTAGGCCATCAAACATTAAATATTCTTTTATTTGCTTGAGATTTTGAAATTTTTGGGAGTTTTTGTGCTTTTTGGTTGAAGTTTCCAATAAAATATGAGAAGATATTAGTATGCATCATCCATGGAGGGCTCTGTCTGAATACTACTCTTATCCCATTAGCTCGGCAACTGGTGGAGACTTTCTTTTTCGACATATTAATGACGGAGATTTAAGTGGGATATTTTAACAAAACCGGCAGCGAAGAGCAATGCTGGCTCTGGGTTGATGGAATGTTGCTAAGACTTTTCAAAATAAACTGGGACTCGATGGTGTTGAGAGCAAGGAATGCCCTAAACGCGGAGAATAGCGAGTTACGCGGACTCAACAATTCGATTTGTTATAGTAGGTCCTGTGAGTTCCTTGTCATTTTGTCCAGCAAAGTTGCGGTTTATAACAGATGGTGTAAGGCCCAAAAACAACCAATGCAAAGATCATAAATGAAACAATAAGTAAATAAAAAGGAAAGGATTGCAAACCAATTAACTACCCAATTCCTCTTGAGCTTGTAGATTAATTGAAACAAGCTACTTCAAGTTGATGAATTACAATCACTCTTGTGTACAAAGGAAGGTTCACCTCCTCCTTGCCCCAAGCAGCACTCGGTCAAGCCAGGACGTTTTACTATCCCTCAGGACAACCCTCACAGAGCTACACTCATGAAAGATTCACTCACAAATGAAAAGCTTACAATGAACCTCACACCACTAAGACTACAAATATTCTTTTTGGAGTATTTTCTCACTAAAATCTCTCTAGATCTTTTGTATCTTCAGTGTGCCAAAGTTATTTGAAGTATCTGACCAACCACTATTTATATAGGACCAAGAAAGAGCCTCATTAAAGCTTCCAACGGATAGAAAGTAGCTGAACAGTCAACTAGCCGTTGGTAGTGTCGGACGTCCGATAGCACTGTTTTATGCGTCCGACAGCAGGCAGTGAGTTTGAGAAATTTTCTTCAATTCTTTCGGACGTCCGATAGGCTGGTTTTCTGCGTCCGAAGGTATGATGTAAAACTGAAAATTTTTCTTCAATTCCTTAGGACGTCCGATAGGCTGGTTTTCTGCGTCCGAAGATACTCAATGGTTGTCGGACGTCCGATGCAGTCTTTTTGAGCGTCCGACAGCTTCAGCATACTTTGTCTTTTTCCAATTGCACTTGTTCATGGAATCAAATAATTTCATAACTGAAAATATATCTTGAAAAAATATTAGTATCATCAATTTGTTTTGTAAACATCAAAAGATAGGGATCAAACTCAACAGATGGAATTACTACCATCCTGTTAACTGTTAAGAGTTTCCAAGGGTAGCTTGATCATAATTTTTTTTTTCTGATGTACTTATTACTGGGTACACATAAATGAGTGGAGGATTCAAATCTAGAATTATTGGAAAATTTTCAGTGTCAAATGGTTTTCATTTTTGCTCTCTATGTCCGCATTTTTCTCGTAGCTCCTATTTTTGGATACTATAAGGAGTAGAAATGGTATTGTCTGGGATGTGCTAAACAAGCATTTGGATAACATTTTTTGAAATTCTTTTAAGATATATTTCAGGTGATATATTTTTAAAAATATAAGATTAAATAGGAAATGTAAATAAATATAAGGGAGGGTAGACAAGAATAAATAGGAAAAATAAAGTAATCCACTGTACATAGCTTTCTGACTACATATAACTAATACTATACTACTAATCACTCTAGCTAACAGAAAAAATTTCAGGAGCAAAATTTCACTCTAAACAAAATTTCCAATTTGTTTGGTTCTATCAACTTTTCTCCACCTAGCAACAATGCTTTAGATATTCTACACAACGGATTGAATTAGCAATTCAATAGTAGCCATTTTGCCAAAAAAAAAAATAAAAAATCCTTCTATTCCTTTCTCTCCACAACGAATAAATTGTTATTGTAAAAGCACGCTTGCGCACTATGCTAATTAAAGTGTCTTGCTGAATATATTGAATCTGCCATTGAAGTTCATTAGACCGCCCATATATTCTCCTATACAAAAAAAGACTACTACTGTATTCTTCCCCAAAGACAAGTAGTATAATCACAAGTGAAAGAGATGCCCATTGATTCATTTGCTCTTGAACATAATGCACACCATCCATCCACTACTATTCCCCATTTCATTAATTTGTCCTTTGTTGCTAATCTATTTTTACATACCAACTAGACTATCAATGCATGCATGAGAATGTATCCTTTGAGCCTCACTAACTAGAACCATGGAACCTCTAAATACTTGTGAAACTATCTTTTTTAATCAACATCCAGTAAAAAGAGTCATGTACATGAGGTAAAGGTAGACAAGTAACAGAAAGGGAATGTGTCAACCCTCAACCTTTTGAGACCTCCTCCTTCCTCGAGGCCAGATCCAATCACCATGGTGATGCTAATCTTGCATTCATAGTATTACCAAATTATTGAAGAATATCAACTCCACAGTAATCAATTAAAGGGCTATGTGGATGCCACTTTTTTTTTTTTTTTTAAGTGTAGGTAGGAAGACCCAAATTCAGGATATCTCTTTTATACTTCGTTTCTTGAATTACCCAACTCGTTCCTTCCCCACGTGGATGCCACTTATCAAATCATAAATGGATAGTTTGATCATTATATCAAACACAGCTTAAATGTGTTGCTAAGCATCTTCTCTCGATTAAAGCAATTTCCTCCAAAACCAAGAGGAATTAGGAGGGATGGACACATGCCAAAAGGATTTACCATATAAGTTACTGCATGGCATTAAAAGTTCATTTAATCATGTTAAATTAACTGTGTTTTATAGATTAATTTATCTTGAAGTGGTTTTTAGATAGAAACCGGCGTCTCAATCTCGAATCTTCAAATCAAATGCAACCATAAGAAGTTGCTATATTGTCTCAAACATGTATCAGAAATAATAGGTTCGTGTTCTTGAAATGGAGCAATCATAAGGATCCGTCACTTTTCCACCTTATGATAGTTGCTTGAATCATTCCTCTTCCAATTCAAGCAATAACCGAAACACTATGTCAACAAGTGGGAAAAAAAAATAAAATCTTATAAACAAGCAATAATGATAGAAGAAGTGCAGAAATCTTCCCCCAAAGGGAACAAGGACAATTCAAACGTGGTTGAGAGCTTAATCTACACTTTCATCTGTCGCCATTACCCAGAAACGGCTCGTCCTTTTTTTTTTCGTTTTTATATTTTAGAATCCTCATTTTTAAATTCCCATTCGACATTGGTATTCAACTATCAATGAAAAAGAGATTTGATGAGATTTTGGTCTGATGACTAAAATTGAGATCTCAGAATTTAGATATCTTGGGTTCTAATTTCCCTTTTTCCTCCCTACTTAAATCTCACCCTTACTCTACTAGAAAAAAAAAAAAGAAAAAAGAGAGCACCAGCTTAATAAGCCAGTTGAGTTGCTAATGGAGTAGCATGTCATGTATCCTAGGAAATCGAAGCTCTACTCATCTCAATACTGCTATGATTACACTTATGCATCCAGTTCGAAAAGAGTTGATGGTTCAAAATCTCTATCTAGTTTGAAAATCTTAAAAAAAAAAAAAAATCAACGAGATTCTGCCTACTAGCATGCACTCGCTCTTGCACTTGGGTTGATGAAACTTCTTGGAACTTAAAGGAGTTTTGACAAAATTCATGAAATTGAAAGGAGTTTGACCTAGTAATGCCTCCTTAAAATACATGTGAACAAATTTGTATAGTCTTGTCTTCAAAATCCAACTTAGCTTGTAGAGATACTAGTTAGGTGATCAAGAAGTTTTTGAATCGACCCTTAAACTCTTTTCTTTGTTTTTTCTTTTAATCTTCCTTTCCCCTTATAAGGATTAGAATCTTCCCTTAGGCCATAGTAAATAAATAAATAAATAAATATATATATATATATACCCGTACAATTCTAAGAGATTTGAATTTGGTTTAAGAAAACCCTTCAAATTCTTAAGTAAAGAACCGAGACATGAGGGAATAGGGACTGCAGTGCATTAAACAAAATTCAACCAAAGGCCATATCAATGTAAAGGACTATGGCAATCTGATTTAAAATTGACTGTAATGAGTGAAGCGAGTCAAAATCCTTTTCTAAATACTTCAAAAATTTTTGGGAATTTCAATATGGCATTTTGTTCCTTGAGATCATGTAGCTATGCCATGAACTTCCAAATGCAGTAGCAGTACTTTAACAGTTGGATTCTTCTTCCTACTTAAAAATGTAGGCTTTGTTTGGATGGCGAGAAATTGTAGAAAAGTCAGGTACAAGAAAATGAGCTGAAACAGAAAACACAAAAATATCTCTTGTGTATTTAGCTTCCTTGTTTGGTTCAAGAGAGGAACTAGATGGAGGGAGGAAATCAGGATAAGAGGACTCGAATTCCATTTTACCGGCCTTATGAGTCTACTCTTGGTATTCGTTCTCTTCGATATAAGAATAAGTTCAATAAGTTCCATTTTACCGCAATATTGTTGACAACAATCTTCTTGCACAAAATCGTGAAATATTTATTGATAAAAAAGGATACAGAAAATCGTAAAAAATTTGTGTAGTTCTTAAAAGAAAAAAAATAAGAACACAGCAAAATCATGCACAAATAAAAAACAAAAGAGAGAAAAAAAAAAGAAACTCACTCTCCTTCACTTTGATGTTATTATTATTGTTATCATCATCATCATCATTATTATATTTTAATGGCAAAACTTATGCCAGCTAAATTTATTAGTTAGAGAAAAGGGACATAGGCCTTATCTCCAGAAGGTAAAAACATAAAAACAAAAACAGAAAATGAGAATTAAT